TCTGTGCAGTCAGCCCGCTCCACCTGGGGGCTGTAACCTAACTCTTGGCAGAGGGAAATGAACACTGCCCGGTGTGGGGGCTCCACTGGCGTTGTAGAGCTCCTCCAGCAGGAAGTTCTTCTCTCTGAGACACCAGGCCCCCGGGGTAAGGTGGCATGGAGGGCTGCTTTTTAGCCTCGCTATTGCCTCTGACTTGGCAACAGCCTGGTGCAGGAGAAGGATGACATTGCATCTGGGAGGTAGATTAGAGAAAAGCTCCAGAAGGGAACATTTATGAGACGTCCTAGTCCCGAGAACCTCGGGGCCGTGGGAACACCTCTGCCCAGGTACAGTTCAGCACTCCAATTCAGAGCTTCCAGGGGCAGCCTCCACCGCATGGTATGGGGGCTCCCCACAATTGTGGTTCAGGACTCCAATTCAGAGCTTCTGGGCACAGCCTCCACCATGTGGTACCAGTGGCTCCCCACAAATGAGCAGCTTTTCAGTGGAGCAGTGTGGTTCTGGCTTGGTTACTACCTCCAGAGAACCCTGTACATTTTGTTCCCATTTCATTATAAAATGTATGATGCCTAATATCTGAATCATTTATGCAAGTTGTTGAGTCCAGGAGTTAAAAAAGTTAAAAAATAAAGCTGAATTAAAATATGAAGCAAACATCACCCATTTTTGCGATGGTTCTGTGTGCCCTGCCTTGCCCTGTCCCATCCCCTAGGGAGGTAACCATAGCTTGATGGCACTTGCCACACACCTATTATGAGTTTTTACTATCTCTGTCTGTCTGTCTGTCTGTCTATCTGTATAGCCTGTTTTGAATTGCTAAATTCAAACAGAATTTTAAAAATTCAAATAAAATGATGAGATTACAGTCATTTAACATTTCTTAAATTTATTTTTATTTTATGTGTGTATTTTGCCTACATGAATTGTTTTCCCTACATGTATGTATATGTAGCATGAGACTACCTTGTGCCCATGGAAGCCAAAAGAAGGCACCTAATTCTGAGGAACTAGTGTTACAGAAGGTTGTGAACTGCTATGAGAGTGCTGGGAATCAAACCCGGGTCCTCTAGAAGAGCAGCCAGTGCTCTTACCTGCTGAGCCATCTCTCCAGCCCTGGAATTGCAGCCTTTTGAGCTCCCCTTGCATGTCACATATTGTCCTAGAAGATAAAGTACCCTTGAACCTTGAGTTTGACTGGTACAGGTGAATGCTGCTTTCTCAGGGGCTCCTGTCTCAGCTATGGAGAGGTCGACTGTCTCTGCAGACAGTTTCCGGGGAACAGGAGAGGGGATGCTGCTACCCTGCCAAGCATGCTTGGTTGCAAGAGGTCATACCTGGGGCTCCTGGTCAGGTAGGGCTACACAGGACACAGGTGTCTGGCTGCTGGGAAGCAAATGGACTAGAGGTCATACCTGGGGCTCCTGGTCAGGGAGGGCTACACAGGACACAGGTGTCTGGCTGCTGGGAAGCAAGTGGACTAAGCTGACTCTGCCAGTAGCCTGGGGCAAGCATGAGACTGAGAGACATGTGCTGAATGTGGGGCTTTAGGGCAGACAGACAGGCCTCATAGTGGACACGAGTAGAATGTAGGGTGGGATAAACAGCTGAGATGGAGTGCCAGCATGCTAACTCCTGGGACGCTCAAGGACCGAACAGGGGCTTGGGATTTGCAGAGTGCACATTACTACCCCTTTCCTTATTGTTCTATTTCTTGAATACCTACTATGTGCCAGGCTCACTGTGGGTCACATCATGTCAGAGATAAGACAGGAAGTGGGGCTTTCCTTGCCCCTTGCCCTGCTCTGTGGTCTAGAAGGAAGTCAGTCGGTTTCCTCACGCATAGTGACATTCAATAGCTCTGGGTGCACTTCCGTTCTGTTCCCCGGCAGAAGAAGCATCTCTCTGTGGCATGTGGCCTTCGCAAGGCTTGAGAAGTGCAGACGAGGTAATGAAACGGATGGTTCTAGAAGTGTCTGCTGGAACCTGCTTCTTCCTGCTGATCCATCTGCCTGTCAGTCGGTCACGTGGCAGCGCTGAGACCATGGGGCAGGGAAGGCAGGTGTGGGTCATGCGACAAAGAGTCACGGGCATGAGCAACATGTAGATTCCCCACTCAAGGAGGGTAGAGTTTGGTGAGGGAAAATATTTGAGTCTACAACAGACATAAGCAGGAAATTACAAAACTAGTATGAAAAGGCCTTATGATGAATTCAGACAAAATGTAAACTTTATAAAATAAATTTACACATAAAAGAATATTTTTGCCCAGATAAGATTTAGAGTCTCTTTAAAAATTAGTTTGTAAACCTCCAATGTGAAACTGAGGGTCATTATAGAGAACCAACCCAGAGGAAGAAGAGGAGCTGGAGGAAGAGGAAGAGATGGAGGAAGAGGAGGAGGAAGAGGAAGAGACGGAGGAAGAGGAGGAGGAGGAAGAGGAAGAGATGGAGGAAGAGATGGAGGAAGAAGAGGAGAAGGAAGATAAAGGAAGAGGAAGAGGAGAAGGAAGAGGAAGAGATGGAGGGAGACGAAGCCACTGGCCACAGTGGTCTCTGCTCCAGCTGCACACATGCTGTGTATGTGGCTTAGTTTTCGTCAATTGACAAAGCTAGGGTCGCCTGGGAAGAGAGACTCTCAATGAGGAATTGCTTCCATCAGATTGACCTGGGGGCAAGTTTGTGCAGCATTTTTTTATTAATTTGTTGTTGTTGTTGTTGATGTAGGAGTGTCCAGTCTACTTTGAGTGGTACCACCCCTGGGCAGGTGGTCCTGGGTTGTATAAGAAAGAGAACTGAGCAAGCCATGGGGAACAAGACAATAAGCAGCATTCCTCCATGACCTCTGCTTCAGTTTCTGCCTTGGCTTCTCTGTACTGTGGACTGTAACCTGAAACCCAATAACCCTTTCCTCCCCAGGTTGCCTGTTGTCAGTGTTTATCACAGCCACAGAAATCAAACTAGAGCACAATGCTGTTTAAAGAGAACACTGATACTAGCGGCCTTTGGCTTTCCTTCAGTCCATCCTGCGGCCTGCAAGCACACCCATACCCAGAGGTCCTTTTGCTCTGGCTGTATATACTCATGAAGTCAGCCTCACTATATAGTCCTGTCCGCTCGACTTTGGATGAATCTGCTCTCATTTACTCCAAAGTCAGGGCAAGTGATGCCTGGGCCTGGCTTCATTTCACAAAGTGCCCCTGTCCTGTGACCACACTGGTCACATGCTAGGTGTTTCAGGATCATGGATAGAAGGGAGCACTTCACTGAGATGGAACTTGCTCTCTGTATGCTTGCTCTGCCATTGCCCGTTGGGTGGGTGACAGCTGGAGTTATACCCAGTGATTTCAGAACCTTTAGAGCCGGCCATAAAACACTGCCTGGGTTTGTAGTTAGTCTGGGGACTGATCATCTCATCCTCTCGCAGTGAGCTCATGTCCACCTGTACTCCAGCGAGTTGCCTTGCAAATGCTGGTGGCTTCTTACAGGATAATTTGTGTTTTCTAAGGGCAAGGACTGTATCCGCTCTTCCTTTTCTTTTAAACGATTCCTCATGGCACCTGATAAGAGATGCATGCTGAGTGGGTTCTTAAGTTCCATCTATCTCTCCTTTCTTTGAACATCTGCCAGGTTCCCAGGCCCTGGGCCTTTGCAGGAGACTGATTATATGCAAGCCTTGATCCTGAGAAACTGACAGGTAGAAAGGGAGGAAACTCAGATAGCATACCTGGGCCAAAGGCAAAGGTGTGGAATCAACCACAGTTGGTACAGTGTTAGTGCTCTGAACCCCAGCCACGTGACAGAAGCTATCTCAGGACCCTTCGGGGCTCGGCTCTGAAGCCAGGCATGTGTTCGGCTGAGTGCTGAGGTCTTTTATGAGTTGTTTAACCTCGAAGAGCCTCAATTTCTTTTTTCATAATATACAAGTAAGAAGAATGTGGTATCCACTGTGGTCTAGGGCACCTATAAATACCTTCCCTCTCTCCCACTTACGTTTTGAGTCTGTTGAGGCTTGAATGTAAAGAGATAAAGAAAGGGACCCAAAAGCTACCATTGTTGCTGATAAAAGTTGACAGCTTATGAACTTCTAACATTGAATCCTAGAATTAGGTAGACATTTCCACTGTATCCCAAGCTAGTTATAGGAGGGCTCCAGCCCACAGAGGACCAGTATAGACTTCAGTTCCAGACAGGGGACGCACAAGCTTGCACATTGCTCTGAGAGGAAGGGCAGAGCACCTCAGATGCACCATCCAGACTTGGAAAGGAGGTAGCTGTGCTTTGCTATGGTTTGAATATGGAACATCCCTCATAGGCTTAGGTGTTGAACGTTTGGTCTCCAACTGATGATGCTATTTTCAGAGTGTCTAGAAACCTTAAGTAATGGAAGCTATTTGGATGAAGTGAGCCGCTTGAAAAATGTCCTTGTACCCTGTGTCTTGTGTCCTGTCCTGGGCTCCCTTCTTTCCTGCTCGGCTTCCTGTCCACCATGATGCCAGTATTTCCATCATAGCCTCCCACCATGATGGACTGAAGTCATGAGCCGAACCAATCTTTGTTTATGACCAGTATCTGTCACAGTAATAGGAGAGCCGGTTCCGAAGAATGTTCTCAAGCACTTCCTCTGTGTGGGAGGGTTTGTTGGGAAGCTTTCAGAGCCCAAGTGGGAGGGCTTCATGGGTCATATAGAACTCCACATGCATTAAATTTCAGATAATCATCGCATTTTATAAATGATGACAGATGAGCCCACTGTTAATTAAAATTAGCTTTCCAATGCTTCCGCTGTGTTTTGGAAGTTATCTGGTACATTTTGAAACAAAAAAAAAAAAAAAAAAAAAAGAAAGGCCAATCCCAAGTTAGTGTTGAGAAAGCCAGACGGGGTCGGCCTCTCCCTTATCCACCTTTGTTCTCTAAAAGCCAGGAGAGCAGCTGCTTCCCAGAAAGGTGAGCCAAGGCTGTGCCAGCTGCGTTCTGACAGTCTGTCCTGTCTCTCTCTTGCAGTGCAAGTTGGAATTCCATGCTTGTTCTACAGGCAAGAGCCTCAGCTCCCTCTGCGATGGGCCCTGTCCGTGTCTGCCTGAGCCCGAGCCACCGAAACCCAAGGCAGAAAAGAGTGGTGAGTAGACAAGGGTTCAGGGGGTCAGGGCAGGCTTGCATGGGTAAGCGTGTCTCGGTTGCCAGGAGCCAGGCTTGAGACAGAGCTGTTCAGGCCCATGGAGGGAACACGAGCTGACTTGGCAAGTAAGATCTCCTGCTTCTACCATTAAAGAGAGAAAAGAGCAGAGAGGCTTTTAACACAAATCTGTTAGACCAAGGTGGATACTGGCTTCTTTTAAATGGTAGTTTAACTCTAGCATGGGAGGGGAAGGTTTTCAGCATCTAAGACCATGGCCTGCCCTTGGGTTTATCCTTCTCCAACTGCAGACTCTAGAATCCTTTGAACCTCTCCGAAGCAAACATCACAGAAACTGCAGAGATATCCTGGCAGAGGAGAGCTTTCTCCCCAAGCATTTCTTCATCAATACATCCTCCTGTAGGCCGGCATAATACCAAGGGACAGATGAAAGAGAACAGCCCCCTGGGGACCACTGTTTCTGCTCCAGGGTTGAGAGGGCTGGGATGCTAGGGCTTCTTGGGATGTTTTCTAATGGAGAAATAATATGGCCCATTGACCGTTGTCCCTTCCTAAAATCCAAGTTTGAATTTTCCTTTGGTAACACTGGTTGTTCTTAGCTATGACTGGCTGGTTCGTAGAAAACACGGCATGTGCATGTATGCCAACGTATGTGTGTGTATGCCAACACGTCTTCCAAAGCTAGAAGCTTCTTATGATTAAGGAAATGAAAAAGATGAGAGACAATATAATTTTTGTTCACTGTGTGGCAAGTAGACAGAGACTTCAAGTCCTAGTCTGGGCAGTTCCACTTCAGAAACATTACAGGCTCTTTGAGAAGTTTATCTCAGAAGAGCAATATAGATCATGAATATTGTAATTATAAGTAATCAGCCAAGGTTACTATTGATTTCCTGCTGGCCAATCTCATTTATATATATTTGCATTTGAGGCCAATTTATATAACTGCATTAAGAAAACTTAGATATAATATATAATACCTCATTGTATTTTGGTGAGAAAACCCAAGGCCGTGGTTGTAGGTAAAGAGGTTGGTGGGGGAAGTCAGACCCTTTTAGTTCAGGTCCTCGACCTCATCAATAAAAGAACTTAGAGGATGTGCACAAAAGCCCAGTGAGAAAAGTTAATTTAGGAGGTGAGAGTGTATAAAAAAGCAAAAGTGTGCTCAGGGAGTAGCATGAGTGGCTTCGTGAGCAAGGCCACACTGGGACAGTCAGAGTGTTCCTTGTATGGGTTAGAGGATGCTCTGAGCAGGAGATTGTCTCTAGGGTGGTGTGGCTTTATTGTTTCTTCTTTTGATGGGGGTCAGATCCTAAGATTCCAGTCAGGTTATATCAGCCAAAAGCATCTACAACTGATGCCTGAAGTCAGGCATAGCACACGGGTGGGGACAAGGGGGATGGGAGGGAATTTCCCTTCGGTTTACCCTTACTGATGGAGCATCACTTGCTGGGCATTACATACTGGTCATGGGGAAACTGTCTGCTCTGGGTTTTTGTGCCTGGTAGAGATATTTTAAGATCTGGAGAACATCCCAACAAACTAAGTCCCGCTGGTCTCGTACCTTGGAGTCCTTTCTTCATTAACTACATAGTCAAGAAAATTCTGCCTAAAGTTCTCTGGGGTCTTGTTAGGAAGTTGTGGTGGTCCTCGCTATTCTAGATTCCATCCTATTCTGCATTCCATGCTATTCTAGATTTGCTGTTTATTTCTTTTCTTTGCTCCTCTGTTCTGAGGGAGGGGAACTAAACCAAGAAGTCCTCTTGCTTTGCCTCTGATATCCATAGATGAGGTGAAAACATCACTTCTCAGAGCCCCCCAGATGTGCTAAGGGTTCCATTCTCCTCGCATTGAAGTAATACAGCCCCATTTTCTGGGAGACCTTTTCATTTCTCCAATGAAGAAAACCTATGCTGTTCTAACGATCTTCACCTCTGATGACGGGAGGCTTTCTTAAGCATGACCCTCCAGATATGGCTTTGGCCCTGTCATCAACTTAGGCAGATATTCACGAGTAAAAGGTAAAACAAATTCCTCATGAGTCTATGCAAGTGTGTTGCCATTTAACGTAAAAGGACTTGGGGATAAAAAGTGCCATGCCTGCATTCTGAAAGGTCGGTGAGGATGAGATTGTTGTTTACAGAGATTTCAAGGCATTTGCGCAAGCTTGTTAATGGTGAAAGACAATTCAGAAAAGCAGGAAGTTCATCTTAGCACAGCAGACAAGGGAACATTATGAAATAATATCAACAATACCCCAAACCATATTGATGCCTTTCAGATGGCATGCCTGTTTTTCCTTCAGAACTTTGCCCCTGGGCTGAAATGGCTCCTGAAACATATTTATTCAGTCCCTGAGGCCATCTGGAAGTTGTCTAAGAAATATCATTTTGGAAGCCCCACATGTTCCTCGAACTATCAGTTCACCCTTGGGAGCAAGCTCTTTCTCTGGGATTCTGAGACTGGCCTTCTGTGCTAACAATCCCGTTTCTAAGCTCTGAGTTAATGCAGGAATTTTCACTTAAGCATGAGATGAAGCAGCAACCAGCTGCCAGTAGCAAGACTGAAGACTCTGGCGTGATTTAATGCTGCATCCAAGGTTGTCCTAATGGAGGAGAGTATAACCCCTTCTAAGACAGAATGTTCAAAGACTTAATATGGATTTAATTGGTGTTTCCTCAACAGACAGTAACAAGTATGGTGACAAGAGCTTTGACAATTCCTTAGGGTCATCACATTACATTTACATTAATAATGCTTGACCTGAACAAATTTGATCAAGGGAAGCTGACCTTTTCCTTGGAGTGCTAATGGTTCTTTCCATGACGCTCTCAGAGTGACTTGTAACAGGCCACAAGAGCTGGGCTGAGGTTTGGCAGCTGGAATGAGGAGGAAGGATGATTATCAGGGAGAGGTCAGAAGTGAAGTGAAGGGCAGTTCCCAGGTGACAACTGAGCTGCAGGGAAGGGGGGACAGGGGAGGAAGGCTGAGCATGAGCCTCCTCCTACCTGTCAGGGCGCCTGACGGAGAATAGACAGTAGGCATGGGCAGCAGTAGGTGTGGTCACCAATAGGCATGGCTGGCAGTAGGTGTAGTCACCAATAGGCATGGCCAGCAGTAGGCATGGTCAGCAGTAGGTGTGGTCACCAATAGGCATGGCTGGCAGTAGGTATAGTCAGCAGTAGGCATGGCCGGCAGTGGGGGCATGGGGTGGGGGGCATGGGGTGGGGGCATGGGGTGGGAGACATGGGGTGGGAGGCATCTCTCTTGGATACTCAGGCAACTCTTCCTCTCTTCCTTCCCTGAGCCCCACTGCCTGGGGCCTCAGTATTGATCAGTATTGGGTTCAGGGGTGGGGGAGCGGGAGGACCTGACTACTTACCCCCTCTTAATTTAAGAGCCGAATTCTCTCCTGGGTTTGGTGTTTTAAGATGAGCTGTGTCTAACTTGTAAATTGGAAGTGTCTTATGTCTCTTTCAGCCTCTTTTCCAAGTCAGAATCAAGCGGTTGTGTTTTCATTCTTTTCACTGATCTGGCATCTTTCCTTTGATGTGACCCCTGAATTGCTGGTGGAGGATAAAATCATCCTCTAATAGCTCTGAATGCTTCTTATTACGTTTCCCAATCATCTTATGATCATGGTTACCTCTCTGATCTCATAAAGCCAGGCCAGCCTCAGAATCATAAACTCACGGTTGTTCAACAAAACAGCAACAGAAACCAAAGGAAAGAAAAATGTCTAAAAGAGATAGTTGAGAAGTAGGGCATACAGCACAGTAGTGAAGCTCCTGCTTGATGTATGTATGTAAGCCTAGAGGTGAATCTCAAGCAAAACGATAGAAAGAGGGGGAAGGTTCTGGAACTCTTCTCAGCCTAAGTTTAGTGTTTGGTATTTGCCAGGACTAATAACCAGGACAGTCGGAAAGCCACTTCTTAGACTGTCACTGGTCAGCTGCGGGGTATTGCAGCTGTCCTTCCTTCTGTTCTCAGCAAAGATGTGAGGGAAGTCCTTAGTGCTGGGCGCATGATTCTTCACAGTGGAGAAAACTAAAAAGAAAGTAGAAGCCTCTTAAAGGCGGCTCTAAGGCACCCTCTTTGGGTTAGCCAGTGGGTCTCCTCCCCTTCTAACCCTGGGCCCTCCCAGCCTGCCTCACCACCACTCTCCAGTAGAGCCAGACCCTCCCTCTCTGAGCGTGGCAGCCTTGCCGTGGGCATCCTACACCCAGAGAGGCATGGTGCTTTCCTGGGTGGAGGGAGGACTCTGCGTGACTGTGGGGTTCCAGGTCAGGAAGGGTCTCACCTACTGCTCTCATACCTGTCTCTGAAGCATCCATGTTTTGTGAAGAAGAGGCCACGTGCATGAGCTCCATCTCCACTTCAGCATCTATGGTAGATTATATTTGTACAGAACTTACAACCAGTGACCTATGCATGTGATTATGAATGTGTGTGAGCACACGGACACACATGCACTTGAATGTACATACATGTGGAGGCCAGAGGTCAACATCAGGTATCTTCCCCAATTGCTCCTCCATCTTATTTTTTTGAGACAGGGTCTCTCACTGACTCTGAAGCTCACTGACTTGGCTACATTGGCCAGCAAGTCCTTTGGATCCACCTGTCTCTACCCCATTCTCCAATGTTGGGGTTACAGATGGACACTGCAGGAATCTGAACTCAGGTCCCCAAGCTTTGCACAGTAAGCTTTACCCAGTGAGTCATCTCCCTAGTCCCCAGTGATCTTTATCCAGTTCCTGTTTACCAGAGGAAAACCCTGGAGCGCTCCTGGGAGAGACTTGTCTAGACTCAGACAAGTAAGTCACTGGACTCCAGGTCTCTGTTTACAGCCTTGGGTCACATTCAGCTCTCCTCAGCCTGGATAAGGCGAGTCTCTGAGTGCTGGGAGTTTCCCTTGGGTCTGAAATCATTGACTGAATCTTACAGTGTCAACCACAAGGCAGACAGCGTCATCGTATTCT